TCATAAATGTTAAATAACCTATCAGCATCTAGTTGTTGTAAATTATGAAAAGGAGCATTGCGAGGAATATTAACCAACGAAATCCTTGTTCTTTAGTGAACAAGAAAATGTGTTATGGCAGCTTGTCATGGTGCGACTGGTAACTTTGACACCAAATAACAAAACTGCCATTTGTACTTATGCTAAATTGGTTCACTTGAGCTTCCACTTCTCCTGCTATGACATAATGTATGAACTGGGGAACTGACCAAGTCGTGCGGCTCCCCAGCTGACTTTAACAAATATGCCCATTTCATTTCATTTACTCATCAGAATACCAGGGGGCTCAGCAGTTTCAGACTCATTGCAGATGGTATAGGCTTTGCAGGGACGCAGGGGGCTTTCATGTCACATCCCTGTAAGTTACGACAGTGGAGGGGGCTTTCCTTCCTAAGTGCATGTCATTGTTTGACATGTTCACAGCTTACAGGAATGTTTTCTGTTTCAACACCTCATAGGTTTATGTAAAGGGCATTTGTGTCCTATTAACCAAAGTGTGAAAAATGCATTTTCCAGTTTCATGCTTTGGCCAGCCATGTTGAAACCTAGATAAAGATTACATCTATATTTGAAACCTGGTGGAAGCACAATTTTGTTCCCTGAGCCCCGGAGAGTTCTGTCCTTTTCAACAGAGCAGTCTCCTCCTGAAGGATAAGACGTCTGGAAACAGACCGGTAGGAACAGGAAAATGCAGCCTCAGACGAATTGGAGAAAGGACTCCTTCAAATGACTATTAAGAATGAATAATACACTACCTTAAAACAAATACAACTTGGCCAGATCACAGTACACATACAAAGTAAAAAATTGATAGCTAATTGCCAATATAGAGACATTTACTTAAATCAATGTAACATAGCACTTTTTTTGGGGGGAGGGTAATCGAAGTACCTGTATTTGAAAGATAGATTCAGAAGTGACGGCATGTAAAGACAATGTCACAGACGTTGTTCACAAAACTTCATGGTGTGTGCATCTCAGTGTGGGAAACCTAGTTTTCAGGACATCAAATAGCACCTATATCTGTTAGTTCTGTCAGTAGTGATTCTTACTTTTTCCCTTTTGTCTTGTTGGTCTCACATATCTGTTCTGTCTCTCTGAAGAGTCTCTCAAAATTATTCTTTCACCCCTCCCCACCAAGTTTTCTGGTGCAACATCCAGATATTAAAAAAGAGCATAAATGTAGAAGGAGTTGCTGTAGTCTCAGATGGGTGGTAGTTCAAGTCTTGGCTGAGCCAATAATGACTGTGCCATCCAGAACAGATTACTTAACTGAGCCATTTTTAAAATAAATAAATAAAGTAATAATGCTCATCTTTCAGTAGTGTGTGAGGCTTCACTCATTCATTTAATCAATCAACATTATTGAGTTTCCACTTTGTGCTAAAATCACAACACTAGAACTAAGGAGGAGTAGAATGTTCCGGCCTTCATAAAGTTCATCTGTTAGAGGCATTAAGTAGCATACTGTATGCTGCCTGGAGTAAAATTGAAATACAAGGAATGACTGTTCTTATATGTGCCATTGCTGTACCCATTGCAATGACTTTCAAGCACCCATCTCCTTACCTGCTCTCTCTGTCACACTTTCAACTCATTATGCACCGGCCACAAGGGTTACCTTCTTATAATAAAAGGTGAGTCATGATGACACCTCTATGGCCTCTTGTTGCTAATTATATATGAAACCCAACTTCCTAGGAGAATGAATTGATAAAATTTAGTAGTTAATTGCATTTGGGAGTGAAACATCCATATGTCAGGAAGCATTTTAAGATTCCAGTTTAAGGCTAGCATTCCATGATGTTCACCTTCCTGACATGATCGCTGAAGACAAATGGGTGCGTAAGCAAATGTGGTGAAGAAAGCTGATGGTGCCCGGCTATCAAAAGATATACCATCTGAGGTCTTAAAAGCCTGAAGATAAACAAGTGACCATCTAGCTGAGAAGCAAAAAAGCCCATATGGAAGCAGCACACCAGCCTGTGTGATCACGAGGTGTTGATAGGATCAAGCATCAGGCATTGAAGAACAAAAAAATCATATCATTGTGAAAGAGGGGAGTGCAGAGCAGCAACCCAAAGCCACCTGTAGGCAACTGGACATCCCTCTACAGAAGGGTCACAGGGAGGAGACAGGCCAGGTAGGGTACAGTATAGCACTAATGAAGCATACAACTTTCCTCTAGTTCTTTAATGCTTCCTCCTCCCCACTATCATGATTCCAATTCTATCTTACAAATCCAGCTAGACCAGAGGACATACACTGGTACAGATAAGAGCTGAAAACACAGGGAACCCAGGACAGATAAACCTGTAAGGACCAATAATGAGAGTAGCGGTACCAGGAGGGGAAGGGGAAGAAGGGGGAACTGATCACAATGATCTACATATAACCCCTTCCCTGTGGGACAGACAACAGAAAAGGGAGACATCAAACAGTGTAAGATATGAAAAAATAATAATTTATAAATTATCAATGGTTCATGAGGGAGAAAGGGTGGGGGTTGAGGAAATGAGGAGCTGATACCAAGGGCTCAAGTAGAAAGAAAATATTTTGAGAATGATGATGGCAACAAATATACAAATGTGTTTGACACATGGATGGATGTAGGGGATTGTGATGAGAGTTGTATGAGCCCCCAATAAAATGATGAAAATAAAAGAGCTATATCATCCATCAGTTTGAAAATCTTAGATGACAATCTAGGTGGACCAAAGACACTGCATGAAGTCACATCTGTGCCCTGGACTCCATGGCTATTTCAATGACAGGTATGTGGTGGGTGGACCAGACACATGTTTGTAGAATTGACTTGAGTGATACCTCTCATATCTTCAAATGAATGCATGAAACAAACAAACAAAAAGATTCCAGTTTAAGGAATGAAAAGGTGGTACTATCATTGTACTTAGGAAGAAGAGCAAGCTTGTGAGTGGGAAGCACAGCACATTCTATTCTGAACCTATTCAGATTGAGGGAGGGTCTATAGAGGGTCCAAGGACAAATACCGAGTGGGCGGTTGAAAGTACTTCTGGAATGCAGGACACCTAAGGTGGGGCTAAGTGTATAGTAATCAATGGGAAGATAAAAAATAAAACTAAACTCATGGCAGTCAGATAGACTCCAACTCATACCATGCCCATATAGAGTTTCCAAGGCTGTAAATTTTTTTAGTAGAAGATAGCCTCATCTTTCTCCCATGAAATAGTTGATGGTTTTGAACAGTGAACCTTGTGGCTGACAGTCCAAAACCTACCTGACAGTGCCACCAGGGCTCCTTAATGATAGGATAGTGGTCATTTAAGTTATCAGAATAAATGCAACAGAGAGTTTAACTGTGATGCAATAGATGTAAAATAAAAACTCTCAATCTGCATTACTAAATTCAGCACAATGTATCACATAATTGACCAGCTCCTCATATTATAGTCAAGAACTCCTTCAGAAACTCCTTGTTGACATTCGTCGCGTATGAAAGTATGAGCATCTTTTATTTGGACTAACTCTTCTGCCCCTTCATCCTTGGAACTACATCTACAAAAAGCAAAACTAATTTATTCTTTAGAGTTTATTTCTCATGGCCCACTGAATCCTGCTCTCTCTTCTCAGTAATGTCCCATGGACTTGTATGTTGCCCTGTTTCCCTTTTTAAAGTTGCTATCAAATCAAATTTGACTCATGGCAACTCTGTGTGTCGGAGGAAAACTGTACTCCATAGAGTTTGCACGGTGTGGTTTTCCAGAACTGGACTGCCAGCATTTTTTCTGCAGTGGCAGCGGATGGGTTTCAACTTTCAAATTATGTGTTAGTGGCCAAGTGCGTTAACTGCTCGCTCCATGCACAACCTCCGTTGTTCCTGTAGCAAAATCAAATTGATTTTTTCTATCGTTTTGTTTTTATTGATGTAATAAAAAGTAAGCATTTAAGCCCACGAGTGTTATAAGCTACTGGATCAATATATATAACAGCATTTCCATTAAAAGATAAAAGTTAATGGAAACTCCATTATAGTATTCATTCAAGGCTCATATCCCCACTTGAAAAAGTGTCTATGACCAAATAAAACTTCAATCACACGCACATACCCCCCCCCCCCAACACACACACACACACACACTTTACTGTCGAGTTGATGCCAATTCCTGGTGACCCTAGGTGTTACTGAGTAATAATAATCTTTACAGAAACAGATTGTTAAGTATTTCTTCAGCGGGACTGCTGGGTGGGTTCGAATTGCCAATATTCCAGTTAGCATCCACGTGCAAACTTGCAAGTGGCTCCACAGGACCTTAAATAAAATGAGTAGGCATTTAATTATATCAAGAGATTGTGAAGTGGCTACAAAGACTAGATTTTCTCTTTTTATGAAGCAGTAGTGAAATATGGCCATTTTTGAAACAAATTTTCTTATGGGTTTAGATCCATAATTTTCATTAACGGAGTAGACTGTCCTGCCTTGATATTGATGTGCTGGGGATTCTCTAAGTAAACTATGATTTAGATATTTTATGGGCTATTATGTCAAGGATCCATGTCAGGCAGGACACACACACAATGCTCTACAGAAAAATTATTGTCACAAGCAATGCTGGTGTTGCTTATCTACTATGAGCGTAAGCAAGCCTAGAAAAAGTAGATGACACCATTTTTAATCCCCTTGTAGCTTAAAGAAAATGCAATCCCATACTTTGTATGTTTGACCAAAATGTATATATTTAAATGGTGTTCTTTCCCTTCATATTGATTGAAAATGGGTGGTACACATTTCTAACTTTTGAAGTATGCATTGTAATATTTCTAATGTAACTTTCATTCAACTTTTAGTCATCACTTGTGCAATAATCTACTCATCAATTTTAAAATTTTGAATATATATTGTTTATAAAGGAAAAATTTTTTATCCATTCTATGCAGCAGACTTTTGTTTCATTTCGTTTCCTCTCTCTCTCTCGTTCTAGGGATTCTCATCCCACAAATGCCTGTGGATTACAATATCTTACTCAATGCTGGAAGTGACACACCTCTGACCTCCCCTGTTGGTCACCACCATTCCATCCTGCTGGAAAACTTAGCACCATTCACACAGTATGAGATCAGGATCCAAGCGTGTCAAAATGGTGAGTGTCTTTCAGTCCACTGACTTGGGCTGAAAAAGTGTTTCATTAAAAATAAAAAATAAAAGCCGTAAAAGAGGAATAGATTCTCAATTCAAATAAAAAGACTAGCATTCCATTTCATATTTGTAGTGGACTGTTTACCCAGAAAAACCCGAGCCTGGCATTGAGTGAAGCATTATGCATTTCTGCACATTAAATCATGAATATTTAAATATATGAAAATGTTGGTTTTGCAAAGTCTTGTTTTATAAGGCACTTTAAAAGAAAAACACCTAGCTCACATAAAGGAGTCACTGGGAATGTAAAACAAAGCTGGTATTACAAAACTTCCATAGAAAAATATATTCACCTTGGTTTTTAAAAATTGTATTCTGAAGGGGAAAGGAAGTCGGGTTTCTCTAGAGGTTGAATTACATCCAAGTTCATCGTACATGTTTTACCGTGCTTGCCTGAACTCTCTTACATACACAGACCCATTTTCAGTTCCATAGTTCAGGCAAGCGGTCAATGAAATCATAATCATCTATCTGAGATGTGTTTGCACTCCATTCCATTCACCTTCCAAGTGGACGATGTTTTAAATGTAAACTGAGATTTAGTGGGGAGAACTAGAAGTAAAGAGAGTGCTCATTAATTATCCCAGTCAGCACCACGACCCATTCCATCCATGGTGTTGCTATTGTTGTCACTGTTTCTAGCTGCTGTTGGGTTGATTCCAACATGACAGGGCCCGTGGGAAGAGCAGATCCGCCCTGGAGCGTTTTCAAGGCTGTGACCTTACAGAAGCAGGTCACCAGGTCTGTCTTCCAAAGTGCATCTGTGTGGGTTTGATTTTCAATTCGGGGACTCCTTAAATAAATGCATTACATATACATCCATAAGTACATACATAGAAATACATTATATCCTTTATGCACATAAAATATACCCAGACCCCAAAACTCATTGCCATCAAGTGAGTTACAACTCATCATGGCCTTAGCTAGTGTTTCTGAGATTGTGAATCTTTGCATGAGCAGACTGACTCATCTTACTCCCTAAGAGCTTCTGGTTGGTTTTAAACACAGACCCTGTGGTTAGCAGCCCATGCCTAATTCACAGAACCACTGGAATTAGGAGCCAATTAGGAAGAGCCAATTAGGAAGCCAACTCATGTCAATGTACAAGTTGCTTCACCTTAATAGAAGAGTAAATAAAATAAAAGTACCAGTCATGTACTTAACATGTAGGGAACCCTGGGAGTGCAGTGGAGAAGCACTCAGTTGTTAACCTGTTGGGAGTTTGAACCCATCAGCTTCTCAACTCAAGATGTGCCAATCTGCTCCCCTAAGAGCCAGAGTCTTGGAAATCCTGTGGGCAAGTTCTACTCTGACCTGCAGGATTTTTATGTGTTGAAGTTGATGCAGAACAGTGGTGTGTAGATGCTTTAACACGCAGCCTGTAGTACCCAGATTACCATGTTTTTAGAAACTTCCATTTCCAAATGAATGTTATTTCTCATGCCGTTGGTTATAACTTCAGGGATTTTTAATTTTCTGATGATTCAGCTCAGAAATTGGAAGTAGCTAGGAACACATCGTGGTTTGTAAGTCAGAAGGTGGTTGCTTCCCTGCTTCAGCTGTCTCCTGACCAAGTTGGAAAGAGCTTTAAACTGTTGTTTCTCTGATTTGAATGTAGAATCAACTTCTATTTCCCTATGCTCCTGAATCTATTGTGTATTAAGACAATATGTTTCCATTTTTTGTTTTGTTTTGATTTCTGAGTGTTTTGAGAATGGATATCATTTTTAAAAAAAATATTTGCCAAAAGAAAATATTACAAGTGTGCAAGGTGTGTAGGTCATACACACTTGAGAAATGCAAGAACATTATTGTTAGATCTCTCTGGAGCTAGATTTATACCTCGGTCCTTGGCTCCGCGCGAGAAAGAATTCACGCCGAAGCCTGGTTCG